TATATACATCAACATTTACATGGATATTCAAAAGTGTATATACAAAATATATTTATAATATCTATCTACATATCAACATGTTCTCTACTGTATTCATACCAAGATGAAAATACATGCACGCAAAAATGTACATTCATCCACAAACTTATATATCTATATCTATATCTATACATATATAAAACATATATGTCTGTGTGTATATATATATATATATATATATCTTAACTGTAAATTATACACAAGTAACATAATAACATCTCATACTTATACATACACCAATGATTCAGGTAATTGTAAATATATACATATAAATACACACCCATCCTATATTAATGAAATGCCAAAATATACATACATACATACAAATACATAGATATTAGTAAAAGAACAGAAACATACATACATATATGAATATACTTATACGTTCTGTTAAATATACAATCATACCATTAAATCTGAATGTAAAGAAAAATTAAATAAATTTAGATATATATTTTAAAAGATGACGATATATGGCTTGAGTCGAAATCAATTTGGTTAAACATTTTTCAAGAGGTATTTTTTTTGTTTACATGTTAGTATTAATTAAATTCTTTTGTCTAGTAAATTAGGGTTATTAATACTTTTTAAGATGGTCATTTTATCTGGAAGGCAAAAATTACATCTTTCGCCTTTACTATTGTAAGACTTAGTTCGGCCATTATTTCTTTCGCAGTTTTTAGTACGGTTCCACCATCTCTTATTTGCCAGTAATATTTCGAGAGAGAGAGGAGTATTATTTTTCTATTTATTGTTACTTAAACTTTGTAGTTATAAAATCTATTTTTTCAGTTCGTTTCAGTTGAAGCAATGTAAAATTTATTTTTTTATCAGATTGTATGTTAGCTCTATAAACTATATTATCGGGCAAACATTGACTGTTTAAGGGACATTTCATATTATTCGGCAGCTACATTTTTTTTATCTTTGCTTCGTTATAGTTGCTCGTTTTGCAAGTTATATAATTATTCAATAATATATTGTTAGGATGTGATATAGATTTTTCTATAACTTAACGTTGTTGTAGCTGATGATTATATTATTTGTGTTAAAAGTTTTTATAATGTTGCTGAATTTTTGACGTTTATCTATTAGTTGAGAATGATTCTACCAACATCGGTTTTTACGTAGCGGCTAAAATGAAGGGGTTTAAACCATATCGCCTCGCGGTGTCTTTTTTTTTTTTATCTTTTATGTTTTTTCTATGTATTCTGTACGCCATGTTTGCTTTCTTTTATGGCTTTTACATATGTCATTTTAACTTCATCAAATATTTCCTTATTGCTGGAGTTGATTGTTAATCTATATTGTACTGATTTATATAAATGCTTAAGTATAATAGAGGATGAAATCGGGCGACAGTGGCGAGGAGGAAATTAAGTTACTTGACATAATATAGCACATCCTTCATGATGATGACAAGTTACAAGCATACAGAACACGCAAGACTGATCCATAGAGCAATGACTTCCTTCACTGAGTCGCCCCATCCAGAGAATTAGAAGATGGATCCAGTATAGGTCATATTATTGATACATATAAGTTCTATATGATGTCTGGTAACATTCCTCCTCATAACCGTAGCCCGTTGACCCAAATATGCTTGCGTCGTATCGGAGTGATCTTGGTTCGACTCTCAGAGTCGCTAGAAGATGCGCACTTCTGATGAGTCCCAAAAAAGACGAAACGCATGTCCAGTGCTTTTCTGCATGTGTGCGTTGAGGATTCCATGGAAATGATGAATCATTATGAAAAATTATACAAATCCCCTAACAGAAATTAAGAAGACAGAAGATAAGAAAAATAAAAACATTATTATGAACAAGAACAATAAAAGACATTGCATTTCAATTTTTGAAGATCAAAGTTAACTGGAATGCAAAAAGCTGAAAGAGAGTTTCACAAGCGAAAAGTAGGAGAAAAGAAACTATCAGCATAGAACTTACGGTTACATATAATCATTTCAACTGTAAAATGATGAGATCTTGCCGCCAACATAATACTGCGCTTAAATTCATAGAGTCTAATTACCCTAGAGAAAAGTAATATTTATTCTGCGTAATTCAAAAATGTGGCACAGGGCCAAAGGGAGTGATCGGGGAGGGCTTATCTTCAATCTGTCTTATCTTAAACTTAGCTAGCAACAATTACTGACCCAAACATACCACTGTATTCATTACACCAAAACAACACATTCTTACTTACATTCTAGTTACAGCCACCATAATACATTAAGTCTCTATGAAGCCCTAACTAGTCCCTATATGTACAATTTTCTTTGTGTCGGTGGGGTGGGGGTGAATAAAAATAACACCATCTAAAAATGAAACCCTAATGAACTATTTACAATGAATTCAATTTATATACAAAAAATTAAAGAAAATAGTAATAAAGGAAAAATCGGACGAAAAAACTGGACGAAATTAATGCGGGACTAAGTAACTAAGAAAATCATTTGACCAAACACTCACTAAAGCACACACTCATCTAGACACAAAAACAAATACGAAATGCACACTGGAAAAACAAAAAAAAAGCGCCCCGCATCTACCAGAGAACTGATATCTCTGTAACGTAACGGGAGAGGGGGGAATAGAACTATAGAAAGTGGGAACAGAAATAAAAGCTTGAGTAAATGGATGGCGGAACAAGGTTTAGGAAAGATAACAAAAAGACAAAATTTATTAAGAGCTACAGATGAGGAGAAATTGTGGAGAGCCATGAGTTCCGATTTTTATTATTTTTAAGTGGAAAAGAACATTTGTAATGATCTAATCGCAATTTACTAAGCGTTACTTAAGTGTGTCACAAGGCCTAAATTAATGAGCACCTAATGAGAATCGGATTCACTACTCTTAATTAATCTAGCGAAACAAATTTGTTAACTATTACAGCGCGTCGAAGTTCCCAGCAATGATTTTTTTAAAATTATGTTCACCCCGTATAAAGGCCTAATAGCCATACGAGGTAGAGGGTTACAAAGTAATGGGCAAACAAGGTGATAAAGTCACCAAGACGCAAGTAAGTACCGGAAGTGGAAGAGAATGAAAAGAGGCCATAAACAGGGAACACGTGATAAACCTCTACTCCTGTTTAAAGATATCGGGAAGGTATGTGAACCGGGCGATAGATAAAGCCATCTGATCTAAAAGAAACGGGCGTGGAACGAGAGTGTGGACTCTTCCATAACAACCTAGTTAACCCCTACTAGGAAATGCACAATTCCTTTTATAATTTTCACCATCGCAGTCTTACAAATATATAACAAGTTTTCATTGATCAATCACCTTCTATCTACCTTGCTGATTGGTCAGTTCCGACCAATCAAACCGCCTGCACGCTACCAATCTGTTTTCCCGCTCATATGCTGGGATCCTATCACGTGGTACACGACCATTATATAAACCCAACATGTGTTAACTCCCTCGAGTTTTCTTTTCATTCATCTCTCTCTCACACGTCTCATTTCTTGCTACCAAGTGCCAAGATGTAATCTTCAAGAACTCCCGTCCTAGCCATTGCGGTCAGACGTTAAAGACTATTACCAACATTCACACAAGTACAAACTCTGAAATCTCTTCTGAACTTTTACCAACTTTACAACTCACAATTCCAAACTTTATTCTTCTAAATTACAGTTTAATATTACTTCCTTTTAATATGAACTCAGGTACCACTAATACCTAATCAAAGGGACACCACTCTGTCCTACCTTTTCAGTTCGGATGCATGTATATCAAACATTAATAAATTCAACTGTTATGTTTTGAAATCTTTCCATTCAGTTTTGTATTTTATACTATGTGCTATTTACGTCAAATATAAATTGCATTGCGTCCACGCATTGTCCTTAATCTCACCTTTCCTAGCTAAAGTTAAATATTGGTAACTCAATCACTACAATAATGATGACCGCGACGTTCGTCGTTCAACGTTCACAACAACAATGGTAACACCATCGCTACAAGAGCACTTCTAACCGGATTTATTCTACCGAAATGGTGAAGCAATCCTAGAACGAGAAGACATCCCAGGATTTATTATTGGCAGACGCTCTTGGCAAAATAATATACGCAAACGACATGATGTTGGCTGAAAGAAAACGGATAGGAAAAAATAAATGGAAAGTGAAGAATCTACAGGGTGCGATGGATGAATTGCCATCTAAATTACTCAACACTGACAACTCATTTTAACAGATATATTTACCAAATTTATACAAAAATATCTTGAAATACGAAATACATCCCCTAGCTAAGATGGAAGAAATCAAGGATAAAACAAATCAAAACTACGCTACAGTAAAGTTCATCAAAACAATTGCCATGAAAATATATATAGAAAAGATCTGCCTTTTCTATAAATATTGACGTGGTAATTTACATTACAGAGGTAGAAAAGTAACTGAAGGTGAGATGCCAGGTCAGTACCAATAACAATGCAGATTCTTCTTTGGAATTTATATAAATATTTTGCTTAAAACAAAAGCGTTTTTTCCTCATTTGGGCTATGAAGTTAATGATACATCTATCAGATTGTCTTAGTCCGTATCCGTTTATATATGTTTTTAAATATATCATCATTTCTATGGATTTGTGTCTGATTCCAATCTTGTTCATTTAACTAATGTGAAAAGAAAAAATGATGTAATATGTTTCCATTATTTGATTGTGGATATTTTACCTAATTACCATCCATCATTTGGTTTTGAAATCATTATTTTCTTTTTTTTTTTTTTCGGAAAATGAATGAGGATTAACTAATACGTCTAGAAAGCAATTTTGCAAACTTATTATTTCATCTTCCAGATATTATCGCAAAAAACAAAAGTCTTTTAAGACAAATTAAAAAGTAGGAATAGAAAACTAAAATCAAGACAAGAAGAAAATGAAGTTTACGAAAATTATGATTAAATCATGTGAAACGATTGAAAAGGAAATCGAACGAAGACTGGGTCGACATTAACGAAAATAAAACGAAATTTCGTAAGAAATGCTTGCTTTTTGTGCAAGAGAAAGAGACTTGGGAAAATAAAGAGACAAAGCGATGGTAAAAGAGAGGGAAAAAGAGAAAGTGAGAAAGTGTGGTAGAGAGAGAGAGAAAGAGCGAGAGAGAGAAAGAGACAAAGAGAGATAGAAAGAGAGAAAAAGCGAGAGAGATAGAAAAAGAGATTTAGAGCGAAAAAGAGAGAGAAAGAGAGAGTGAGAGAAAGCGAGAGAGAAAGATAAAGAGAGGGAAAAAGAGAGAGAAAAAAACGAGAGAAAGCTAAAGAGAGAGAAAGAGCGAGAGAGAAAAATTGACAGAGAAAGAGAGATAGAAAAAGAGCGAGAAAGCGTGAGAGATAGAGAGAATAGAAAGAGAGAGAAAGAGAGTGAGAGCGAGAAATATAAAGAAAGAGAGAGAGATATATATAAAGCGAAACAGAGAAAGATAAAGAGAGGGTGAAAGAGCGAGAGGTAAAGAGAAAGAGCGAGAGAGCAGTCACGAAGACGAGAGAAAGCCAGAGAGAGCGCGAGAAAGACAGAGAAAATGAGAGAGAAAGCGTGAGAGCGAGAGAGAAAAAGAGAGGAAGAAAATAAGAGGGGATGGGGATGAGAATTAAGATAATTCGGGAGAATTCGTGTGTTAGTCAAAAATGAATTCCGTGCGTAAATGATATGATTAAGTACATTAATATCTTTTTGGAAACTGAGCGTGGGCGGGTGGGATAATGGGTAGCGGCTCGGAATGAGGAATTGGAGAACCGAATTTCACATTGAAAAATTCAAAGACCGGTTCTTGTACAATGACCGTAGTTAAGTAACGTCGAACTTGGTCAGTAGCTAGACGGGTGACCTTTTGTGAGTACCAGATTCTGCCATCTTGGATGAACAGATATCGACTCGAAATTGGAAATCGGGGAGCTGTGATCCAATTCTTGTCGACATAAATATAACATTCACTTACACGCAAATACCCTCTTCCCCCCCACAACAGTTATGGATTAATTACCATGACATGAATCAGTAAAATCATTAATATATCCCGCAAATTTCTTACAATCTAAAAATATCTTCTGGCTTTAGATAACCTACCAAAGGTTTATAAGCCGTAAAAAATAAATCAATCAGTAGAATGTAGATTCAATATATTTAATAGTGTTCAGAATAAATATCTAATATTCTAGATAAATGGATAAAGGGGTAAGAATGATAAAATTCTTTCATGTGCCGTATCCTTTCAAAATCTGACTGAACATGACTGCCCGTAAATTCTTATGCATTGTAGCTCTAAGAAATGTTTGTCTCCTTACTAGTCCTCTTAGTTCCTATTGAGAACACCAGGTGATGTCTCCTTCGGTGTGTTGGTGGTGAAATGGATAATGGCTATGATTTGAAAATAGTCGGATTCTTTATGTTTAATTACACGCATATGCACTTGGGAAATTTATGAAGCCACAAGAAAAATTCGTACTAGCTAAAAATATTTTCTGGCATTAAATAACCTACCAAGGGTTGATAAGCCTTAAAAAACAAATCAATTTCGAACCTTGGATTCAAAATTAACTTTTATTATTGATATTTATGTATGTCTGTCTGGAAAAAACATTTTCAGATAGAGTATATCTGTAAAAGTCCCTCAGAAGTTGATCTTTACTCGTTGCCCCATACTTCCAGCCTTGTGCCACATCTAAGCTACGCTTAGAAAATCGCTATTTTACTTGGGCAAACTATATACACGACACTCACTCGCGAAGAAATCTTACACAACCTTATCTAATATATGCCCTGTTCAATGTTGAGTATGATCTTACTGACTTGCCCAAACAATGTTAGGAGAGTGTGTAAATTTGTAACACCCTATTTATCATCTCTCAGTTACGTCTCTCTCTTTTGGCAGAGTGCGCGAAGGATAGAGTTGCAACTGAGGAAAATTATACTGAGAGATGCCGCGCCCTCTCATTGCACTAGAGAGATGGATCGGTGCCCACACCAAGGCCAGCGCAACTGACGGTAGCGGGGACTCGCGCAATTTTTGTTCCTAGCCCGGGTGTACGCGCTCGGGCCCCTCACCTTAAAAACTGACCTTGTGTCGTCTTAGTGGGAAGACAAAGTAAATACCATGTGAGGAGAGCTCTTCCTATTAAGAAGTTATAAAATCAAGCAAGTAGAGTTTCAATTTGGCAAAATATGATAAAACCAGTCTTTGTAGATTGCAACTCTCTCCCTCAGATTAGGGTCACATAACTCTCTTACAGCACGGAAAATCTCTGCCACATAGAAAATGTGGGTCAGATGTTTTTAGATACAAAAGCATCATGTGATTTTTTCGAAAATTAAATGACTTGGTTCATATTCCATCTTGGTGGTCAGCACGAAGTAAATATTTCACCAGAAAAGACGGTATGCTACCCATCTGGTGATCTGAAGGCATTGAAGAACTGGTCAGTTATAAAACCAATACCAAAATTAAGCGAGTGTCAATCATCTCTTCTGAAACAGATTGGTTATCGATTTCTCAGCAATCACTTTCTACTCGTTATTTCATGTAATTTGCATCGTTGGCAAATTCTCCAGACTATCAGTAACCAGTAAATATTGAGCGAATATTAAGGAGGGGTAGAAAGTGGGGGAAGGAAGCGAATTTATTTTCAACAACATGCCTTAAATTTCAAGAAATCTTATTAAAGAAAAATTTGCGCTCTTCGGTAGGAATCAAATTTGTATCTCTCAGGATAAATAAGTATACTCTTATGGAACAGATGAACTGAAACAAATGTCAGTGTGTTAATATATTTCAAAAATCAAGGTGAGCAGTGACCGACCACGACTGCTAGTTTCATCAACAGGTCGGTGGATGTAGTTTGTGAAATAGACACTGCTACTTGTATTTTGAAATATATATATATATATATATATATATATATATATATATATATATAAAAAAAACTAAGCATCTACTCAAATACGAGTATCCAATAATAATAACGTTGAAATTGATAAAAAAAATCTGTCGGATTAATAAAAATCCATTCTGATTAATTCCCATTGTTTATGTTTAGAGACGAAACTGCGTGCAGATATTAAAAACTTCGAGAGATCATTGACCAGAGAAATTTCCCCTGAAAGAATAAATATGGCTTCGCCAAAACGCCTGTCTCTTCATGGCCAAAACGGTATAGGCGCACCTGGCTAAACAGTAATTCTTTCTACTCTGATGGATACGTAAATTTTTCTTTATTAAAATTTCTAGAAATTTCAGGCCAGTGGGGGAAAATAAACAGATATGATGTTTAATATATAAATGGAGCGCACTTAATAAGGTTTTAAATGATAAAATCTATTGGATTAATAAAAATCGATTCTCTCTCTTTCGCTCTCTCTCTCTCTCTCTCTGTCTATATATATATACATAAATACACACATATACACACACACACACACACACACACACACATATATATATATAGATATATATATATCATTGTGCACTGTTTTTTATTCCACCAAACGATATATATATATATATATATATATATATATATATATATATCTCGTTTGGTGGAAGAAAAAACAGTGCTCAATGATAAATTATCGCGCTGTTAACTATATAATATATGATAATAAATATACATTACACTCTACGTCGACTTTAGAACTGGAAGTTGTACTCTCGGCGTATAGCTTTTTGTATATTTATTAATATATATATATGGAGTACGTGAAAGAAAGTCAGTTGGATGTTTAAATATTTTTATTGCTGACGTTTCGCTCCTCTCAAAACAACTGAAACAACAATAGTATGAGCGGATCGAAACTTCAACAATAAAAATATTTAAACAACAAACAAACCATATATATATATATATATATATATATATATATATATATATATACAGAAAAAGAATAAGCAGCTCGAAAAAGAGTCAGACTAAGATGGAAAAAAGCGCTCAATGACATAACAAATGTCAGAGTGTTAATATATTTCAAAATCAAGGTGAGCAGTGACCGACCACGACTGCTAGTTTCATCAACATGTCGGTGAATGTTAGTTTGTGAAATAGACACTGCTACTTGTATTTTGATATATATATATATATATATATATGTGTGTGTGTGTCTTTGTGTGTGTGTGTGTGTATGGCAATCTTCACCAAATATATATGTGTGTGTGTGTATGTGTGTGTGTGTGTATTAAAAACAATACATTTTGTGTCGATTATTATTATTGATCGACTTTTACAAGTTACGAATATTCCTTCTGAAATAAGGAGGAAATTTCGTCAGAAATTGTCCAAAGATAATTTCCAAAGAAATATGGTCTAACTCTTGCCTTCAAAACTACAAGAGTGAATGCCCCGAGTTTGTTGCCATTAATAACCTAATCAAAAAAAATTATCTCATTCTTGCATGTAAAATAATTTTCCCTAAAGAATTAAACAATATAAAACAATCATTTATTAATAATGGGTAGCCAAATTATATAGTCCACAAGCAAATCAAATTGCATTTAAACATTAATAATTTTAACAATAACCATAATATTGAAAATAAAGTAAAATGCATCACAATAGAAAAAAATGAAACAGCGATAACAAATAATTCGAGGAAAACTCCCAGTTGAAAAATTGCCAGGCGGAAATTTCAAATTCAGAAAATTGCCAGTGCAGAATATTGCAATTGGCAAATTAAAAGATTGTGCCCAGAGGAACTAATCTAAATGAAGATAATTTAAGCAAAAAAAAACATTTATTTCTTATTTTAGTACTAATTTTGACCGAAACCATCATTTCTCGTTTTAAAAGTGCTTAAATGAAGAGAATATTAGTACAATAAAAAAGACTAACGATTTCTCTTTTTATAATTGCTTTTTCGAATCAAAACTACAATTTCTCTATTTATATTTGCAAACTTCAAAATTGCTACGAAAGAACGATGAGCGTCAACTCACTTACGGACGAGTTGTCACTTTTTTTTGTATGGGTACCATTATATTTTTTGTTGTAGGGGTACCTGTATCTTTTTTGTTGTAAGGCACCTTTATCTTATTTGTTGGAGGGGTACCTTAACTTTTTGTTGGAGGGATTCCTTTATTTTGCTGTAGGGATACTGTTATCTTTTTTGTTGTAGAGGTACCTTTATCTTTTTATTAGCGGTACCTTTACCATTTTTTCCGTAAGGATACCTTTATTTTTTGTTGTAGGGTACCTTTATATTTTTTGTTGTGGGGTACCTTTATATTTTTTGTTGTCGGGGTATTTTTATCTTTTGTTATTGCAGTGTACCTTTATCGTTTTTGTTGTAGAAGTACCGTTATTGTTTGTTGTTGTAGGGGTACCTTTACCTTTTTGCTGTAGGGATACCGTTATCTTTTTTTCCTGTAGGGGCACTTTATCTTTTTTTTTGCTGTAGGGGTACCTTTATCTTTTAAACAGTAGGTCTTAGATCCTTTGTTTTGTTCGTGTGAATCCTAAAATTGATAACTCCTTCGAATAAATTAACATTTGCATCTAGCACATTTAGAAAACAAAGAAAATTATGTTTTTTTATTTTAATTTTTTTATTTTTTGTTTTCTTTATTCTTTGAATTCCTTCTGAATTTCCAAAAATATTCTATTCGTTATTTTTTATCGTTCGCTAAATAAAAACGAATAATACGTTGTGAATTGGTACGAAAGAAATGTATTATTTTTTATTCTCTCTACCCTGAATGGCTTCTTTTATCAGAAGTGAGCATGGTGAGGATATTTTTGTCGATGAACTTCAATTTATGTATCATCAAAATGGGCTCAACAAGAGAGGAACAAAAATCTATTAGGAATGTGCTGTAAGAAAATAGAAATCATGTTGAGAATGACTACACACAAAATCAAAGGATTATGATAAAAAAATTTTAAAACTTTGTTAACAGACACAATCACACTTCCAATAAGAGTAAAGTGGATGTCAAAGTAGCCATTCAAGAGATGAAAAAAAAGTTTTGATTTCAAGTCTACCTACTCGGTCTTTGCTTGCAAATTGTTTATCATCTGTAGATGAATATGCACGTTCTGAACAAAGAAACGTGCAACAGATAAGTAGAAATGCTCGACATTGGAAAAAACAAATATCTTGTACCCCACCAAAAAGGGTTCATAATTCCGCCCGAATATCAAAATCTTGATTTTGGAGGAAAATCCCTTCAGCAGGATTCTGGAGCCAATAATGAAAATCAAATATTATTATTTATAACGAATATAACGGGACATAAGAAAATATAGAAATTGAGCTACAAATGGAACGTTCAAAATGTCGCCTTGATATATTATCAACATTTTTACAATTCATGTACAAGTTGAATATTCTAGTTTTCCACGTGTTTTTGCATTTCTTCCTAACTAGAGTAGAACAACCTATGAAAACCTGTTCAACATAATCAAGAATTTAGTACAACTAAACCTCCACACGGTAATGAGTGATTTTGAAAAAGCTTCGATAAATGGACTAATGAATGTTTTTCCCCAAACCGTGGTTGTTTTTTTTCCACTTCTGTCGGGAACTCTATAGAAGGATTGTGAACCTTGGTTCCAAAAATCGATACCACAATGAAAGCAGCTTTCAGCTCAATTTAAGGGATGATGCTTTTCAGCGCTGGCCTTCCTCCCGTGTCATGATGATGTTATTGGCTTTGAAGAGCTATCAGAAGATGACGATATTCCTGAAGAATTTATCTTCTATTTTGAATTAATGTACATTGGTGTTATGAGAGGGATGAGTAATAATAGGAGAAAGTCAATGCCGTTATTCCGAATCCCTATGTAGAATGTCCATTCCAGAGTGGAGCGTTGCGCGCCACATATCAATAACAACAATGAAGGTTTCAACAATGCTTTTTCCAATTCAATACATTTCCAGATATTTGGATGGCATTGTGCATATTGCATTTTTCAAGAAGTAGGAAATTTCAGTGCAAACAAAAATACTACAATTCGAACGAGGAGATAAGAATCGTAATCCCCAAATGCACAAAAATATCAATGATAAACTGAGAAGAACTTTTGAGCAATATAATCCAGACGATCTGTTGCTTATAATTTTAAACATTTTTCTTATATTTTTCATTTTCTTATTTGTAAGAAAAATTTATATTTTTAATTTTTCTGTATTTTCTTACATACGAAATGTTGATCAATAAAAATTTTCGTTTCATTTTAAGGCTTTCAATTCATAAAAACTCATTGTGTTTTTTCTGAATTTGTTCTAAAGCTCTATCAGGTAAAATAGATTCAAAACCCTAGCAATTTTCTCAAATGGAATTTACCCCACGGGAATTTTCTGGCTGGCAATTTTCCAACTGAGAATTTTCTGTGCACGAAAAAAAAAATCGTATATATATAGAACCAGTTGATAAAAACAAATTGATCAGATTTATTATCTACTACATAAAATTCAAAACTACCAATCTAGTTATTAAAAATGACTTCCAATCTCCTATATAAAACGAATGCTGTGTATAAATATACTTTCCCACTTGGCAAAGGTTTCTCTGTAAATAAAAAAAAATAAAACGTTTTTCATAGGATATACCACAATCACACTCTCACGAAGACTCACCTGTCACTATATATATATATATATATATATATATATATATATATATATATATATATATATATATATGGAAACATCTAATGACAATTCTACAAATAATTAGTATTTTTTGCACCATGGTGTTACCTCTGTAACATGCGAATATGTAGGGAAAATAATGTTTGATGCTAAACTTGAAAACGTTAAGATTGTAGTGATTCGGGAAGCATCCGTTTGGGAGTCGGTTCCACAGGGAAGTGGTTCGTGGGAAGTGTGATATTATTTGTTGTTTCCGCGGTAAAACATTGGAAAGTTTTCTTATGGATAGAAGGAGTGATATACTGAAAGACTTTGGAACAAAAAAGGTTAATAGATTGAATACGTGGGAAAGATTGACAATTTACTTCTCATATAGACGACACCTGGAATTGGTGTGTTGAGGGTTTGAACAATGGAAAATGACCCAGACGTAGAGGGCAATGATGATTGACATGTGTTCTATGCAGCTGAAAATGCAAGCCGTAAAGCGAAAACTTCATTTTCGTAAACAACGAATTTGGAGTTGACTCCTGGTCGAAATTTGAGTTGAAATACCAGGAGAGGATGGATAAGCCACCCATGCTCACTGAGGAGATTTAGTGAGAGTTAATAATATGAGAATGGAAGAAGGGAATTCTCCAGAATTATAAAGTAAGCTGACAACAAAGGGGTTTACCAAAATCACCCAATGCGCCGTGTGTCGCGCCAGTTTGAGCGAATGTCAATAAATGCGAATGCGCGAAGCGAATTCGTCAGACGAGACTGAGAAGAGACGGAGACATAAACAGAAGAGAGACGGCAGAGAGTTCGTCCCAGCCACCGGTCATGATAACTCCCATGTGATTGCCTGCTGAAGAGACCCCCACCCGACTTGTGCTGAACTTTACCAAAATAGCAACCCAAACTATACCAAGTCAATAATAATATCGCTTCCGATTTAGAAGCGGGTTAGGCTGATAATTAATTGCATGCGAACTCTGATATAAACCAATTATTGTACGAAGGACTGATATAAAAAGAGTATTTACTTTTTGTTAAGTTTATTTGAGAGTTATTTCTTTTCCCCTGTATGTCTTCACCCTGCCTGGACCAGTCCAATACGAAGATACCTGCGACGATTCGATCTTGTCCTTCTCATGATCAAATTTAAACCACAACGTGAGATAGAGCAGGTCTGAGATTGAAGAGATCTTCATCGATTAACCACGGTGTTGGAAGTCTTGGACGACCGGGTAGGATGTTGTACGATTACAGAATAAGCTACTCGAGTGGAACTTACTTCTCCCCAAAGGAATACGAAGGAAATGTAAGTGGATCACTACAATGTGTGTAGCATGTCGGGTCTTAAACGTGAAGGTTAGAAATGTTAGAATTGAGGAATATAATTCGTCTGAATAACTTCCATGAAAAATAGCGATAGAACGACAACAGGCTTGCGACGTTTCAAATGTGAGAAGAGTTGTAGGATGGGAAATAATTCATCACCCAACAAGGACGCAGAGGCGCTTTTGGACTCTATACGAAGATGGAAAGTGAAGATTGGGCAACTCCTAGCATTATATGACAGCAGTACTCCATTTTCGTTCTGATCTGGTTCTTGTAAATGTAGAGGATTTCAAGTAAAGAATTGACCATTTTTCCATTATCTTCAGCTATGGGTCGTATGAACAAGTTCCACTTGAGGTTTAGATTGAGTTTAAGTCTCAATAGACGTATGTTCCAATGGGCGTTCATTGCGATTGGTGAGAGTTCTGGGTCTGATTGGCGATGATGGAATGTCACTAGTTTTGTTTTCGAGCCATTGAATGTGACCAGCAACTCCCCACCACACACTGAGCTGTTAGAACTAGGTCAGAGGAGAGATCAGCTGCCAAGCTCTGGTCATCAAGGGGTTTGGAGATGCACCCATATACCGTTGTATTATCAGAATAGATATTCACAAATGATCGAAGGATATTCCTAGATCATTTATGTAAAAAAAGAAAGAGTGTTGGTCCGAGAAACGAATCCCTAGGGGACGCCTGCGTTGATTGCATCAAACACGCAAATTTATATTTAGGTAAATCACTAAACCTTAGCCAATTGATCAAAAAGTACTTATTTTACACAGGAAATATTTATTTTCAACACCATTATCTTTTCAATTCACTTTTTTCGTTCGTTAATATTAATTGCATTTATTTACATTGTATACAATGTAGATTATACAATATAATACAATACAATGTAAATTTCAGATCAAAATTCGGCTAATAACTACGTGTCACCTCCTGACACACCCAGACACGCTCGTATATACGAGAGGTACAACAAAAAACGAAATTATTTTTTAAAATTTTATATAGGTTCTCAAAACATGTAACTCTACTCTCCTTCAAAGTACTCGTGTCTTTTACCTGATGAAGACGAAACGTTAACACCTCCAATTAACTATGAAATCATGAGAGCTCTTCCTCGTTAGCATCAGGGCAAGTATTTTTACCATTTACATAAAGAAAAGGATAAGTAAAATAAAATAGATAGATAGATAGTTAGATAGATATTTACGAAACATAGTGTTGTAGCATACCAACGGACGATAATGGGTATGCCCCCATTCCCATAAAAACAGTAGTGAATACTTTTCTACGTGGGCTAGAGTTGAAGATTCGTCTCCGGCTGTGCTGGTCAAACACTCTGCCTCTGGGCAGAGAGGATCCCAGGCGAGGCTATGTCGAAGGGCAGAGTCTCGTCTCTGGAAACAGCTACCCGACCTCGTTTTATACAGGGTCTACGGGGAATTTTTGATCAAGCCTACGGGCTCGGATATCCCACATTAAATTCGGCCTTGTGCCACATCTGACCGCGTGGGGCGGTTGGTAGCTATCCTAGAGTTGGAGATTCATTGTGGAATTCACTTGACTCACTTCTAGCAGTTGTCTACTACGCGCGACTGGCGAATCTTATATGCGTTGTTCCTGTCCTAAGTATTATCGCTCATTACCAACTTTCGTTTGATTATTCTATTCAGTAACCTTCTCTAAGTTACAACACTTCGGTTAGTCTGACCTTAACTTACTACTGATTTTATAAGAAATACAAACATTCCCATTTTAAACGTTATCAAGTCCCTCGCTAATATACAAGGATTGTAATAGAATGAAAAGCAGAAAAAGTTATGTAAATATATGGGAAGCGGGGAAATGAGTAAGTAAGAGGAAAATAATAATAAAGGTATAAAGATAAATAAAAGATAAATAAAATGATTATATCAGATAATGATCAATGAATCGATCTTTATAATTAAATCTGTTGATAGAAGCAAATAGCTCTGTGTCTTTCTGATATTTGAGTGTTCATAATACGATCAGAAATTAATTTTTGGGAATATATTTGGTCAGAAGTAAATAAGTATAATGTTAACACAGAGGAAAACAAAGCAAAAAATTGGGATGACCCAATATATATTTAAAATTAGGTATTATTTTAAAACATACTAAAAATATAGTTTTAAAATTTCAAAAATATACGAAAAAAGGTTATCCATTTCCTCATATATTTTTAAATGGAAAAAAATCAAATTTAAAATCAATTTTTAGCTACCCCCCACACACATATATAGAAATTCTTTAAAAATCTCCGTTCAACGGTAGAAATATTCCTAATAAATATTTTCTCATTTTTTCCAGAGGTTTTCGAGAACTTTCTACCACTATAATTTCGCTCGAACTCATTGTAAAAGTTCTCAGTTGTCATTTGAACATAACATGTAGTTCACCTATTGTATTTTCCTCACCTTTTGATGATTTCAAAAGGAATAAACTTCACCGAATAAAAAAGACGAAGTCCTTTGACTTATTAGAAAGAGAACAACAGTAGTAATGCCATTGCACAAAAAGTGAACAGATCTACAAACATTATTGACAATCATTTTTTAAGAATTCAGAGACGTATGGCACTATAGAATGTCCAGCAGGGTTACACAAATTGGTTGTCACCTTCTTTGGGCGTCATCAAAAGGTGAATTGTTTTCTAGGGACTTTCGAAATAAACTTGACCTTAATATTACTGTATGAAAAGTTTTGCAGGTCCCAATAAATCAAGAAGTTGTGTATTGATCGAGAAAGAAAGTTAGTGCTTTGAATGATGTCCATAAAAGCACGCCGAATGAAAGGAAAGAAAAACTAACTTGGACAATAATAGAAAGTAATGTTCTCTAGCAAGAAGTTCAATTGAAATGGTCTCTGTGGAATGGAATATTCCTGCCATGATCTTCGGAATAATTAGTATTTTTTCCAAATATACTTCTAACCGGGGATCTGTTATGTTATGGGGAACTTCTTAAACCAAAATTGAAATGCTATTGGAAGACAAGTAATATGCTCAACGTTACATAGAAGTATTTATCTATAAAAATCTCGTTCAATTTGACTGTAATCATTATGGTATATATTTTGTATTCCAACAGAATAGCGCAACTATTCACAATGCTACGGTCACCAAAGACTATTTTGGATGAAACATTTTTCTGCAATTTCATTAAAAGCATTTGAACGACTACAGCAAGATTTTTCTCATTTTTTTATTCGCAAAAACAGTTTGTCAATTTTTATGACATTCATTTGTACTAATCTATATTATTGAACACAAGATAATAGAAATGTCCAACGCAGAGCCGCTCTGACTATTGAAATAAATTACATCCGGAACAAGGCTTCTGATCGGGAGGTTTTCAAGGGTGTGAAACCACAACTGAATTGCTGTTGTTCCCACATCTACCCTAACCCGAGGTGGTAGCATCTGTTACCGTCCCAACTATGGCTAAATAGTTAACCCGCAACTGGGGTCAAAACACTATGAAAGTATAAAAATACATTTTCATAGTAAAAATACCAGCCACATATATTCATAATAAAAAAAAAATTCAACGAAGAGCACCAGTTGCGGATCAGCCAGCCGAACATCCCTCATACCATCAGCGCTGTGTTAGCTAGATCGGCCACGTCCTGATGACCACTTTACAAAAAGTATCTACAAGTTCGACCCGCTATCTGCAAACTGGCGATGACCACGCGGTTGACCACGCAGTTGCTGGAAGGACGTCGTCCTCCAGCACATCTGGTGCTGAAGGATGTTCCATTGACCGTGAGAGCTGGAGGAACAAGATGGCTCTCGTAGGATCATCACCTTTATGGCATTAGTTTTAGCATCAGAAGCAGCTGCTATCTATATTATATAAGAGTTTATTCCTTGTTTGTTACAGAATGATTACGTATAACTTTGTATGTGAGTATCTAATCCAATATGTGTGTATCTGTGTTATGCGTGAGTGACTTACGTCTGCTTGTATCACTGAATATGCGTACAAGTACAAGTACACGTACACACACACATATGCACACAAACAGAATGTGACAGAAAATGGTTTAACTCATTTCTCAGTGAAAAATCTTTAAATTTTTAAAAAGATTTAAAATTTAAAAGTTTTAAATACCCTCGATTTTAAATACCCATTTAAATATACATTTTTAAACATTTTCATTTGTCAAGTTATTTATAAATTTTTAATTAATTTTTAATACCCATTTAAAAGCTTTAAAATTTTTAAAACTTTAACTTTCATAAAATTTTAAATTAAAAAAAAATTAATTTTTTTTAATTTTAAAAAATCAATTAATCATTGAATCAATTAATCATTGAATTAACATAGACATGCATACATGTAAACCTACATACACACCGTGAATGAAATTGAAATGGACTTCCGTGTTGCAATGACTAACACTTCTGGCAACAATCTCTGTGTAAGACAAAAAAGGAATATAAGCCAAAATGTGTGGTTCTTTGAAGTTATTTTTATGACTCCACTATTTGAATAAAATATATTTTCTAGATACAACCAAAATGGATGCGTGTTTTTCCGAAATGAAAGCAAAAAAAAAAAAATTCTACCCCTTCCATTTTGACAAATGTGAATACTTTTAAAATGAAGTGATAACAAATATTTTTTTTATGGTTTTAAAGGTCCTGGGGATATTATTTCAATAAAACATAATGCAAATAAGAATATCTTGAAAATCCTTCCTAAAATCATACCAAAATAATTCAATAAAACACAAAAAATATTTTTTGTTGAAAGTTGGTACTTGCATAATTTAATAAAATATTTTTTTTTTCAGATTTGAGAGACAAAAGAATTTGCAGTGAATATTTATTTTTGAAACAAATGACTTGTAATTTTTAGTGCTATTTTTCAATTCTCCCAGGTGTTGATTAGAAAACAATTTTTATTAGATAATTTGTTTGAAGAATGGAAAACTGCAAAGTTTTATGCCCTTTTCGTATCAGAAATATTTTTAAAACAATTGTAATTTTTTATCATTTTTCGAAACTTATTATTTTTTGTATGGAGGATCAAATAGAAAAAAGTTTATAATTACTTCCCTCTTGGGAGATTAATAACTTAGCATGTAGTTTTATGAGTTACCCTATCTTTTTTAGCACCTCCTTCAGTATAATACATTTTAAAATCAGACACAATCTGCAACACCAAAGCTTTAAAAAAGTAGCCAATCTTAGCTAATTTTGGGACACTGGAAATAAAAATGATATCCAAAATTGCTGATTGGCTCTATATTCAAAGATAGAGTACCAGTGTTATATGAATATTTCATCAAAATTGTTGTCCTTGTCAGATTAATTATTATTCTCCTAATAAACTTATATTTAATTATTATTTAAATAAATTATTTATTATTCCCATTTCTACTCAGTTTCTCACACTGACCTGTGAAAATGCCCAGTGAATGTCGGAACAAAGCCGATAACTTCTATTCTTGTAGCAAAGTGAATTTTGCATCTCAAAAGCGAAATATACCTCCTGTTGTGAAAAAAAGCTTACCAACTATATTTTGGGTGGAACATTAGAGACCAAGACAATAATTAGGCACCATACATATACTGTAATACTTGGACAACAAATCTAAGTCAATGGCTAACCGGGAAGAAAAAAAAATCTATCCTTTTTGCAGTGTCCATGATTTGGAGAGAGCCGACCGATCATGTTGATGGTTGCTACTCCTGCATGAATAAAATGAAATGGACAGTGTAATATCCAAACATTCCGTCAGCTTTGCGTCCTGTCCCCCACAATAAAGACATACCAGTCTCAGAAGCACAGGAATCGTATGAAATTAAGTCAGATGATGGGGAAGACAATGAAATCTCAAAGCCCGAACCATCAACTTCATATGACCAAGACGATTGTCAACCATCCATCTCTGAATAACACTTCATAACTCAAAATGGCCTAAAGAACTTACTAAGAGTAAAGCAGAACTGTTAGGTTCTAGGTTACAGCAGTGGAATCTATTAGCTGCTGATGTATGGATTTCCCATTTCCGTGATCATCACAAAGATCTACTCCCATTCTTCCTTATAGAAGGTGATTTGGTGTACTCCAATGATATCAGTGACCTTATGAAATCACTTAACATCAGTTACAATTCAAAGGAATGGCGCCTGTTCATTGATTCCTCGAAGATAACTCTCAAAGCTGTTTTGTTACACAATGGT